GAATTAAATCAATAATAAAAAAGAAAATATAACGTAATTTTAAGGGAACACATTTGTTCGTGAAAATGCAACATCTAATTACACGTTATCGATAAAATGGTAATGAATTCATCGAATTGATTCAATGTAACGAGTACTCTTGTGTTTATTGTATTTTGAAATACATACGGGAGGAAAATCAAGATTCTGAATTCAATTGCGGATTTTATAACTTCAGGGTCGAATAGAGAAGTGAGTAGAGACTAATCAATCCCAAAGGTTATGCAAGTGGCATGCACTTGAATTAGAAAGGAGCAGTATTTGCAACAGATCGTTATTTCTTAAAGAAGTAGTAACGATCCAGTTAGCAACGTGAATATTACAACCGATAGAATAAACAAATGGTTAGATATACGAGTCAAGAATCGTGTTGTATTTATTTAAAACAAAGAGCGAGAGAAAAAAGAAAATAAAGTGTCGTTTTTCTCATGAAATCGAATTACTTCGTTGAATAACATTTGTTGTATTGTTTTTAAATTTAATATATTACAACGTTTGGTCAATATGATATAATTTAATACTTACGTAGTAAAAAGTACTTCAAAATAATAGGGAAAATTAATTAATAAAGCTTATTTGAATATCCTACAAAATGTGTATAGTTATTTATGAAGAGAAACCACATGTTATTTTTGTTTTACTAAAATAATGGTAGTTAAAACGCTTTAACATATTTGATTTTAAATAAAATCCGAGAATTTACTTCAAAATCTGAACAATTTAACATGAAATAAATGAAAAAGAGAGAGAGAGAGAGAGAGAGAGAGAGAGAGAGAGAGTGAGAGAGAGAGAGAGAGTGAGAGAGAGAGAGAGAGTGAGAGAGAGTTGGAAAATATAGAAAAAAGAAATACCCATTCATTCTAGCTTATTGTTTATGAACGAGAGAATCTTTTGTTTCGAAAAAAATAAAAAATAAAAAAAGAACCGGTTAAAAGCGTTTTTTTTTGTGAATTTTATTACATGTACGATTATCATCGTCATAATAATTATTATTAATCTTATTATTTTATTTTATATAATATAATATTATTATTATTTGATTAWATTTTACTTTTTTTTATTTCTTTTTTTCAAAACAATTATATTCGTACGATGCTCTCTTTTTCGCGCTAATCAACAATAGACCATAATTTTGTTACCTAAGCGTAAATAATACATGCGTATACATATGCATATAAAACAGATAACGATAATGATGCTTTTTATTTTCTTTATCTTTTGTCGTATTTTTTTTTTCTTTTTTTTTTTTTTCATTATCAGTGAAAGCGAAGTATACTGATTAATGCTGTTAATTAAGTATACCCGCTGAACAATGATACATTCTATAGTGCCGAATTAGGATAGTGCCTCGAGTAGGAGCTAATCAGCACACCATATCTATGTGGCTTCTTCTCTTTTCTCTCTCTCTCTCTCTCTCTCTCTCCCGCTCTCTCTCTTACTCTTTTTTGCTTTTTTCTCACGAGTAGGAAAAAAAAAAGTTGAATTTACATTCATCGCGGCCGAGATAATTAGAGAGAGGCTCATCGTACGGTAGAACTTTTTTATAGCGAGACTGTATTGCGTTGTTTTATACATACATAAAAAAAAGAAGATGAGAGAGATAGAAAGAGAGAGAACGTGAAGAGTGGGGAGGGGGAGGGAGAGGAGGGAAAAGATGAGAGGGTGAATGTTCTTCTATCCATCCATCTATCTGCCTACAATTCTGTTTTTTTCTTCCATCTTTTTTCCTATTTTTTTTTTCTACCTGTAGTCTCATACCAAGTATAACGCGACGGCCTGTAATACGAGTATTCTCTTTTTAAATTTTAACGAGACATCGTGTCGAATGTCGTTTTGTATCGATGCGCGTTTTGCGACGGTATGCTTTGATTTTTTTAAAGTTGCCTTAGATATTTGTGTAATACGAGTTTATGCGTTACGTTCGTCGAAATGTACGAGAATATATATTTTTTTTTATTATGTTAAAAGTATTTCTTATTTTTGCTTGTTTTTTTTTTTTTAAATTCTTTTCTTTTTCTTTTTTTTTGGCAAAATTTTTTTCATCGAAATCATGATATGAACGCAAATGCGTATTTTTTGAAAGTTTACTTGTTTTTTTTTTTTTATTTTGAAAGAAATTAAGATCTTTGGCTTTGTAAAAAAGCATCATATTATTATTCGTGGATATAATCGTAATAATTATTTACGTGTCTAGACTGGAAAGTTATATTTTGCTCAACGTGACGCGAATAATTTAAACTAAAAGACTTTTAAAAGAATGGCAAAGTACAAAAATTGTTATTTTTTTTTTTATGATTGCAACGAGTATAATTTTATTTGGATACAATTTTTATAAAAAATATTATAAAGATCAAAAATGAATGTTTATCTTTTATAATCAGAATGTTGAACTTATATCAACAAATTTCATAATACCATTAAAATTATTTTAAAGGTTAAATAATTTAGAAGATTAAATTTGGTACATTATATTTCAGATTTTTAAGAAATAAGAAAATATACTGTAATTGCAAGTTCATTGTATATAAAATTTATGAAATGATATAAATAGGTATCAACTATTTAATGAATTACATAAAAGGAAACATTTTTTTTCAACTAGTCCTCTACATAAAGTATTAAATGATATAAAATATTTTTGAAATAATTCTCCTCGTCTTCTTTTCTATTTGAGAGATTTATTTTCTCTATGTCATACTTTCCGCGGGTTACCAATGACAACATACGGAAAGAACTTTCTCGTATGGAAAAGTAAATACGTTCTGTACGTTGTCCATAGCAACCGGAAATTCTACGACAAAAGATCTCTTTCTGACAGTTAAAAAGTTAAAAAAGAAAGAAAACAAAAATAGGATTACTTTGTTCATAGATCGTATAAAAATATATGTTTTTATTTTGTTCCTGGATGTATATAAAAAGACTTTCATTTTTATTTCATTTTTTGTTTAAAACTGTTAAAAAAATAGCTGCTTGTTTTCATGTTTTCATACGATACTACAGTTATTTTATTTTTTTGAAATATCTCGCAGTCAGTAAGAAAGATTTGAAAAGAGCAGCAGCGAGGTCGTCGTAGTCATCGTCATTCTCGAGGTTATCATCGATCTTTTTCCTCGCCAACTAAAGCAACGTTCTAGTTTCTATTTCGAGTTAAATGTTGTGTGAATTTAGGTAAAGACGTCTGTATTCCTTATAAATATATACAGTTCATTGCTATATTACATAGCAAGTATATATATATACATACTACTTAAGTACTTACTTGACACTATATCATGCAAATGCATCTAGCATTTCTCTGATATCGCATATCGTCCCTAAAGGGACCAAAACATGTATTGAACGAAAATATATTTCACTGGTTAGGAGAAGACGTTTGGAATTACATAAGTGAAGGGAAGCCAAGAGGATACATCGAAGGATTGCTACTATACTCCATCAAACAGTTAAGGTAAAGGGAATTAAGATACGACTTGAAAGGTACATATTTAGAATAGTTCGTGATTGGTGCTTTCGAGTATAGAACAACAAGGGTTCGAGTATGCTTGCCGACTTTGATAATCCCTTCGATGTCTAACAACGCCAACGATGGTCCAGCTAAAATGATGAATCCGTCTCTTGAGAGAGAAAGAGAGAGTAGAGATGCTTACAGCAAATGCAAATCCCAATGAACTTGAAATCTAAAGAGAGGGAGGAAGGGAGGAAGGATAAGTTTAAGGATGGATAATAAATATGAATAATTGATTTTCAATATAAGGGTTTGTGACTGATATTTCCAATTTCAAGGGATTTCAACGTTCAACGATTTCCCATTCGTCTATTTATTATTATAAATTAATTATTCATGTATTAATTGTTCGTATGTTGATTCCATAATTGTTTGAGAAAAAGGGAATGAAAGAAATTATATTTAAATGAAATTTTTCGTTTCAGGTTGGAGTAAAAAATCTTTCCGCTCTACATCTTCATACGGATAATTTATTTACAAGAGTAAAACATTTTTGTACAATAATACGTTGAGAATCGCGTGAAAAGAAGATGTTAAAGTTGTGGTAGGAGGAACACAGTTGGGTTATTTATTCATGGTGTAAATCATACGAGAGTTTGACTAGACATAAGTTTGTGTTTTTTTTTTTTTCTTTGGGTTACGATATTACTTTCCTACTGTTTTACCTGTTCTTTTTTTCTGTTTTTTTTTTCGTATATTTTTTTTTTTTTAATATTTTTTTTTTCATTTCTTCGTTAATTTCGTTTAACACTTATACCGTAGTAGAAAGTATTCTGCTGAAGGGATAATTGTATTCTACCTACTCCAACGTCGATATCTTCGTTTGTCGTCGTTTTTTTTGTTCGTTATGTTTATGTTTATTTTATTTTATTTTATTTTTTTGGTATTCTTAGCCTATACTTTTTGACACACTCAGTTTACACTTAACATTTTTTGTTTATCTCAAATCATTCACTCGCTCACTCTCTTTCTCTCTCTCATTCTTGTTCATTCATTTATACTTTTTCTCTTATTCTCTCTCTCTCTCTCTCTCTCTCTCTCTCTATGGTCAGTGTGGAGAGGACGCAGCTATTTTTATTTTTTTATTTTCATTTCATTTTCTCCCTCACATTCTCCCTGATAAACGCAGTCTTTCATTCGATCAAGCAAATATAACATACAGTTCTGGTTTGCGTTGAAACATACGATTAAAATGTTCAAGGATCAAGCCACAGAGGAGTGCCGTTTCCTTTTTATTGTTCAATCCACAGAAACGATGGTTACCCGACAACGGGACGAGGATATACGTTTTCCAATTCCAAGAGAATGTAAAAGCACCGACGAGAAAATTAATTTTCTCTCTTTTTCTCCCTTTCTTTTTTTTTCCTTGTTTTTTTTTTTTTTTTNATATTTATGGAATTATAATTTTTTCTTTTTTTATAAATTTATCTACTTATTATATATTTTTACGAAGTACTTTTTTTTTTTTTTTTTTTTAGTTATTTTTTAACGTTCCGACCCTTGAACTTGGATTTTCTCCGAATCGTGTTCGGTATCAAACGTTTAAGTCAAGAATATGACTCGTTAAAAATATTCTAGCCAGTCATCGTTTAAAATTTCTATGTTTTTGGTTTCGACGTGGAGACGATAGTTTTTTTTTTTGCTTTAACGAGCGTAAACTTAATTAACGAGTTTGTTCGTCCCTCGTGTTTCTCTTCTTCTTTTTATTAAAATACGAAATCGTAAAAAGTACGTCTAACTGTGAAAGATTTTCGTTTCTTAAACATAATTTTATTCGTTTACATTCTTGAAAGAGTAATTATTAGTCGTAACGATAAGTAATAGCAAAATCTTATTCGTGTCTGGGTCGGATGAATTTTTCGATATGATCTTTTCTTCCCTTTTTTCTAGTTTTATTTTATATTTCATCTTTATTCGATATTTAATATGAATGTCCAGTAAGGATAACAAAATCGTTCACAAAGATATGATAGGTATATTCATTAAAGAGAAAATTTTAGAAATTGAGACTGAAAATTCTCGATCATTTTCCTTCGAAATTCAATCTTTCTTAAAGAAATATCATCGTTTCAATATAAATCGGCGAATAGTTATCGTGAAATTATTCGAGATATTGAAATTTGTGAACAAAGGTCTGAATATCTCGAATCCTCTATATTATCCTTGAATTTTTAAAAATTAGGAATAAAATTGAATGGAATAAAGAAATTTATTGAAAATAATTTGATAAAAATAAAATGTATGAATTTAAGTTAAAATTTGTGAAAAGATAAATAAGTGGTACATATGTAACGTAGATATACACGATGTTCTTTAGATTCATATCGATTTTCGATAGTTATAATTATTTTTGTTTTTTTTAAGATATGCAATCGACAATATTGGTTATATTTTTAAAATGGAATCGTCTATTTCATTTCACGAGTGCCAAATGAAAGCTTCATTCTTTTTATGTGCAAAAAGAAAAAGAAATATATGTTTGTAGTAAACGAGTTATAGGATTTTAATGTGAAACACTCAAATATTTATCGTATTCCATCAAACGTGAGAAAATGATTTTTCTTAACACATTTTCGTTACGAGGATATGGCCGAGATATCCCAAGTGAAACTAGATTTATTACTTAGCGTACTTTAAAACAGTTCGAAAGAACGTTAATCATATTCTTTGGAGAAAATTAATCGAAAGTTCGAATATACTTTTTCCGCTTTCCTGAGAGAAAACGATAATGGATAAAAAACTTTTACCCTTGCAAAAAATGCTTCTTGAATGGCGCGAAAAGCATTCAGATAATTTTCAATCATTCTTTCTGGGTATTTATTACAATCTTTTACAGTCTTCGTAATTCTACGTATCATTATTTTAATCGTATCCGAATATTCCATTTATCAAAGAGTATCACATTAATAATTTGAACTTATAGAAAAAGGACATATATATATAATATGATTTCTCTCGATAAAGATAACTCTGATATCATTGTATATTTTGTTGTATTATCGATAAAAATTTGATATCTATACTCGAGAAAAAGGATAAGATGTGTTCTTTATAACTGGGTCAACATTGATACGTGTTCAAAAAAAAAAAAAAAAGATACAATTGATTTTTCTTTCGAATCGATGTAAGTACGGTAAGTTAGTTTCTTCTAACGGAAGATATCAAACGACAAATATTTTCAAAAAAAGATTTATTTTCCGTTTTCGTTATTCGCTTCAGCATGTAACTGCGCAGATGTACGCCAACAGAAAATCATTTTAAACCGCTTCATGTCAGAGTTTATATCGCCATTTCTTTCGTGAACCCAACACCAAGATCAAATTGTGGTGGTGCAAGAAGAAAATATGCAGGTGGAATCCATCGGGTTTTATGTATGTACGTATATATATATATACACATATATTCATATAGATATACGTACTTACACACGCAGAAAATATACGAGTACGACTCTCCAATATCGAAATGCTTATAAATTTATTGACAACCGTCGCGTTCCAATTTTCTTCCTCGAAATGATTCGCGATTCAGTTCGGTCGCATTAAAATTTCGAAAGTTTTCTCGCACATCTAGAATTTTCATCCGTAATAAAAATATCATGCCATTACATCGATATATATATATATATATATATATCTACATCGGTCTAACCCTTTTCCTATTTTCTTCTATTTCATTCTCGATTTTATTTTTATTTTATTTTTCTTTCCTGGATCCATTCGAAACACGAATTTGTTCATTCGAGACGAACGGAATTCACAACGTCGATGCCTTTACACAGAACACGTTGTGTTTTTCGCAAATAAAGAAGAACAAAAAAAGGTTTGGTTCACTTTATCAAGTCAAGAATTTCGTCTTCTAATAGATTTTTCAAGATATCTTTTTACAAACTTGCGCCATCGTATATTTTCGTCTTCTTCTTCTCATTCTTCTTTCTCTACTTTTTTTTTTCCTTTAAATTTGGAAGGAAAACGTAATCGTCCTCGTCATCGTTCGATCTTACCGAATTCTCCGTGTGAAAAGAGAACGTTTCTTCTTAAAGCACGGAAAGAAGATAGAGAAAGTAAGAAAAATGAAGATGGAAAGAAAATAAAAAGATAAAAAAAAAGAAGAAAGGAAAAGAAAACAATGGAGAAGGAGAAAAACCGTTCCGATTTTCAAGTAGAGCAAGGAACGCGCGAATCGATAATCCTACGTAACAAACGTTTCCTTCTTACTTGCGTGGTGTGTGGACTACATGCACGGCTTAATCTGATTTATGAGTTTGCGCATGCGACACTATATTATGCACTTTTCTGATTTATAGTTTTGCGTAGAGTTCTCTCTCCCTCTCTCTCTCTCTCTCTCTCTCTCTCTCTCTCTCTTACGATAACGGAGAACCCGCGTTAGCCATCATTATAATATTATGTGTGTTTTCTTTTGATCGATCTTCACGTTTTCTCGCAAACGTATATCTCTTTGCTTCTACTACATATCTTTCTATATTTGGTGTATATGCATGTGCGTGTCTGTGTTTTTACATTCCTGTATTTTTTTTTTCACGTATGAGAATATTGCATATATATAACATCCCCGCATATATACGCAAAACGAGCGTGTACGCAATTCATCGCCGACGAAATTAAAATCCTGGTTCGCGGAGAAATAATTTATGAGTTCGTCGTTAAGTGGACGAGAAGGGGGAGGAGGAACGCGAACGAATATAAATTGCGTTTATTGTTGAGAAACTAACGTCCCACGGAGTACTATCGCGATTTCATCGAATAAACTTTTCTCTTTCCTTCTCTTTAAACTTTGACCTCCTCTCGATTGATGATAATCGATTAAAGATAAACCGGCACATTTGGTAGTCTCGTATTTTCTAGCCAACCTTCACTATTTTTTACTTTTTTCTTTGTTTGTTGATCCGTCGTATTCCTCGCATTATTTTTATGTCCACTTAAAATTGATAAGAACCTTCTTTCCCAGTTCTCTCTTTTTATGAAGCTCTTGATAGGGATTTAATAACTCGAACGACGAATTTGGTGCGAATTGGAAAGAAGATCGTTCGTAACTCGCGTCTAGCAAATTTTTGAAAATCGGTTTTGTTTGCAGAAGTAACGAAAGATCATCGAGTCCCAATGATTCCGTTTTATTTTCTTCAGGCCTTTTATCGTCTGACTTGTCAAAATTTATGCGCCCGCACATTATCTCAGTCTGCCTAAGAAAAATGCGAGCAAAAGGAGAACGGTTTTCGACGTTGGTGAACCCGCAGCTGTGTTACCGTGCTGCATCGCTGCTGGATGCTCTCCTGAAACAAATATCGATCCTTTAAATCACCATTCAGTGCTAACATTAAAAGTACAATTTTTTACATTCGTATAATTGGTAAATATTTATCGACGAAAATATTTTATGTCGTCAATTTTTTCATTCTAGTTAAAAAGAAAAAGAATTCAAAATATTTGATAGATTTAAATATACATAAAATATATAAATTTACCTGACTCTTAAGAAAGTATTTAATATCAATTTTGCTTCAGATGTTGTATAAGAAGTATGAATACTTTTTATGGAATTTTTTTGATTTGTTAAGATCTTAGGACAGAAGTAACGATTTAACGACGTGAGTAGATTTGAAAGCCGTGGAAAATCGTTAATTACCTCACGAAGCCACGTTAATACATTTCGACCGATTTCTCATCAATCAGGAAACTGCAACCTGTAATTATTGCGCTGCCGTAGGCGAAGGGAACAGAAATTACAGCTATCGTGGCAATAATGTAATAATCTCCTGGCTTTCGGTACATTCTTCCTTTGATGAATGTATTCGATTGCGTTGTTCGTTTTACGGATATAATCGTTCCATTCATTGAGATTTGAAATAAATACATATATTACGACTAGGAAATCAAAGCTTTGTTCAAAATTTTCTAATAAAAGGAATATTCTATGATATAGTAACGCTTTCAATGTAATCTCGTGAAAATCAAAGAATATATTTCACACAGTCCTATTCGTATATAAGATCTTAAAGAATATTCTTATTCGATAAACGAAACACATTTCACCTTTTTCGATTAACTTTTTCATCCGAAAAGAAATGTCGATTTCTGGAAAAGACTTTGGAAATGCAAAATGAAACATTCGTTTCTTCGAAATCAATTGAATTTTCCGGACGAGCTATCGACAAGTTGATTGAATTTTTCAAACGAGGGTTATCGACAAGTCTCTGGGACAATGTGAATTATTATATATTTTGATTTTTCTTTTATAGATGAAAAATTTCTGTTTATTTTAATGGGAGATAAAATAACTTATGAAGAAATAAGTTTCGTTTCTGTTCTACAAACATATTATCAATTGTCTTAATTCTTTTAATATCTAATAATTATTCTCTTTCTTCTTCTTATTTTCCTTTCTTTTTTCTACATACATTATAAAATCTACAAGGACAACCCCAGTACATTGATTTTCTTTCATCGTGCCTTACTTGCAGTTGCACATCACGCGCAATATGATTTACATGCCGTACGGATGAACAGTGAGAGGCGTGACAAGCTTTCCGGTGGTCTATGACGTGACATCGTATGGCCGGTAATTTTGTTCAAAAATTTCACTCTCATCTACTAAAATCATTAAACATCACCTTTCTCGCTCTCTCTCTCTCTCTCTGTATTTATTTCGTATATATATATATATATATATATATTACGTAACATGCTACGTTGAATTACTCGCAAAACTCGCATTTAACGGGTAACGATTTGTGAGGATAAATATGTGAACTCGGTTGGAGATATGCAAGCACGAAAACCCATGTATGTTGTGTATATTGAATCTATGTGAATATACATTTAGTAATATATATATATTATATATATATATATGTGTGTATGTGTGTGTGTTATTTAAATGCTCTCAGGTTAATTGGATCGTAACCTGGTCTACTTCAATAGGTCATCGAACGTCCGATTATTCTTTCCTTTTATTTTACATTTCCAGCCGATATGTAAAATAAAAAATCATTTCCACGGGCTGTGTATTCCTTTATTTTTCTATTTCTTTCTATTTGTGACGTGGCAGTTTTTGAATTGAGAAAGCCAGAAAGTCAGCGAAATTTTTGACGCTGGAAAAATCTCTCGTATTTCGTGATCGATAAAAAATGAACGAAAGCATACAACACATATCTATTTTTTAGACACTGATTGTATAAGCGTTGAAATATTTTCTTATTCTTGTTGAATAAACATTTTATCGTTCAAAACGTGATTGAAAGTTGTATATTTCAAATATTATTCTCGAAATTCGACATAAATTGATTAAAATCATGTAAGTCGTTCGATTAAATTCGTGCCTGTTTTGAGTAATGTGCACAAGCGTTAAGAATGACAAGTTTTTCCACGAAAAATAATCTCGACAGAGTGGAAATCGTTGGTGGTACCGTGGGCTTCATCCTGTTCCGCCTGTTATGCATAACTGAATATTTATCTTTCCGTAATCCTCAGTGAATTCATCGGGTACCGAGGAAGAATAAATTCATGCACTGCATCCAAGGTAATTACAGAAGACGTCAAGCTCGTTTATACTAGAGAAAAACACTTACATACTATCAAAGCGGATAGAGAGACGAGACAGAAAGGAGAGAAACGGGATATAATTAAAGCGAGCTTTTATTAAATTCATGGTACGTGTAAAAACTTGAAAAGGAAAAAAAGAAAAATTAAAAGAGAAAAAAGAAAAACGATATAAAAATTCATCGACACTTTTCCAACTTGATTTTCATTCATTTCTAATTAACAATATTTTTTGTTAATTTTAATTATTTCTAAATTCTATGATTGCATGCTCGGATTATTATCATCGTTATTTATTAATAATTGAAAAATGTAGGAGAATAAAATCGTAGATTTTATCGAAAGGAAACGATTCTCAAAGTGAAAAGAAAGAGATGTAAAAATTTTCACGAGTTAAATTCATATCAATAATTTACAGTTATCTGACTTATACAGTAGTTAGCTACATTTTACAATTATGAGAGTAATATATGTTCGAGAATAGTAATTTTTTTGAAAAGCGTTTTTTCTGCTTGAATAATTTAAAAAATTATCCATGAGTGTTAATTGGCGATCATTCAAGTGATACTAATCGGGTTTATCAAGGATTATTTTTTGAAAGAATTCGATAACCATAGAAAAAAGTTGATGAGATCCTTTAAGGTAGAAAAGAGAAAATTGTTGAATCCTTTTGATCATCATTTAAATCATAGATTTTATATTGTCAGAATAAAGAGAAAGGAGAAATGCAGGTAGAAGACAAGCAAAGTGATTGTGCGGCTTTTGTAACGGAACATTTAACAACGACTAAGTGGCAGCAATGTTAACGAAGTTCGGCGAACTTGTGTCTCGTTGTTACTAGTTTGACTTGTACGTGTCGAAATAATTGCTCCGAGAGATCGCAAAGGTTGCATCGGAGTCATTTGGAATATAATTGTAAGAGTATGTTAGGAGATAGAGGAATAGATGAAGGAGTGAGAAAAAGAGAGAGAGAGATACAGAGAGAGAGAGAGAGAGAGAGAGAGAGAGAGAGAGTGAGGAAAGTATGTACGATGGTCTAATGCGTTCTGGTTGGCCGCTACCAAAATTACGTGGTAACTGCAGCAGTGGTTATATACTCTAAGAGAACTAGAATTGGAAGATCGACAAGGTGTACGTTCGAGAGAGATAGACAGGGGTAGAGATAAATAGATAGATAGAGAGAGAGAGAGAGAGAGAGATAGAGTAAGTGGTACACAGGAGTTTCAGTGGAGGTCCAACACCACAAAATTCGCAACGTTTCGCTTTTGATCCGAGCGAGTAAACGAAAAGCTCTCCTCTAATCTTCGACGAGTGCTTTCGAGTCTGGAATTAGCACGTTCTCACGCGCGTGTGTCTATTATCCGATCGTCCGCAAATGACACGATGATCAGCTTTTCCACTTGCAGGTTTTCTCGAAATCGTCTAAACTTCTATCGAATTTCTTATATAGAAACGAAATTGAGATACGTAATAGTAATAATTTTTTACGTATCTATATTTTATGAAGAAATAAATTTTTAAAAATGGATTCACAAGTTAATGATTGATTTTTATTCGATAGAAATCGAACGCGATTTATTCTTACAATTCAGACAGATAAAAATACAACATTGTCGAGATAAGTCGTACACGAGTACGTACATAGAACTATAAATTATAAGAAGAAAAAAACAAAGATATTATTTGTTTGTCCAGGTAATACTTTTCATCTTCGTAAAATTTCGGATCGTAGATCTGGTGTCTCTGTATCGAGTTGCACAAAACGATACTAATCTCGTTTGGTTCGAATGAAAGTCGAATCAAATTCCGTAGCTTTTGTAAGCGAGAAATACTAGAAAGAATGACTATGCGTTAATCACAGTTGGTTTGTACTGCGTAACAAAAGATTATTTCCGAAAAAAGAGGGAAAGAGTGAGAGAGAGAGATAGAGAGAGAGAAGGTGAAAATTGACTAGTGGATGACGATGCGTGAAACCAACAGCTCGGTCGCAGTCTAACAACTCGTGCGATCGTTGGTAGCAGCAAGTGGAAGAATTCACTCTCTTTCCCATTTTCGTTTGGTTCCTCTCATTCTCCGAAAACCTGACACAATTCTGACGCACCCCTCCCCCCTCTTTTCACCCATACACCATCACTACCACCCTCTCAGTTATTCTCTTCTTCTATAGGCAAGTTCAGTCACGCGTTTCGACAGGAAGGTAAGCTTCATCTGGTTGGTTCTATTCGCCAAAAAACTCCTAGCTTTGATCACATCGCTGAAAATCGAAGCGGGTCAAAGGACTATGCTTGTGTCATTCGTAGGAAAAATCCTGCCTGGATCGCAATGGAAAAAAAAAAAGATAGAAAGAAAGAAGAGAGAGAGAGAGAGAGAGAGATAGTTCAACGAGTGATCTGAACATCCGGTAGAAAGTTACTTTTTGAAAGCTCTCGTTGTAAGCGTTGAAAGCACGAACTCATTCTTTCTTTCTTTCTTGTTCTTTCTTTCTCTTTCATTCTCTTACTTGCTTATTCGCTCATTCGTTATTCTTTCATTTTTCTATATATATATATATATTGAATCTGTCTCTCTTATTCATAATTATTCACTTTACCATTGGTATCTAATTAAAAAATTTAAATACTTTCATAGAAATTATCAAAATTAACAAATGTCAAAGAGCAATGGTGGCTTACGTGCGTATGTCGAGCGTGAAATCGTTTGTTATTTGTTCGCTGAGCGAAGCGAATGCAAATTC